ACGAGTGTCGAAAGCCGGTTTATAGCGATGTAAGTCCGCAGACACACCGCTGTGCAATTGGGAGGCCAAACATGGATTAAAAAACGGTATTATTATCCAAACAGGAATAAAGTTATTCCACAGATCATCATGACCAACTGATTTGAGCACCAGCAGGCTGGAAGATGGACCAACTCAACCCAAGCTGGATAATTTCCTACATTCCCTTAAACTATCACTGGGGAGGTCCCCCAGACTGACCCTCTTTTATCCACCCCACAAAAAAAAGATATATTAAGGTCTAGAACCGTGACTGACAATGGCTATGAACTATTTCATTTATCTTAATTTCTATCTAAAAAATCAGTATGCACCTAACAGCACCTGATAAAGGATTACCTACATTTTTTTTTATCCTGCACTTTATGTATAAAATGAGTCTGTGAAATCGCCATACAAAACCACTAAAAGAAAAATATGTCACTACAAGCAGAGAAACAAAACAACGAGCTACGGTTCACCAGAAACATAATAATAAAGACAGCAGCTGTCTTGACGTTCGGATCTATAGAAACGAAACATCACAAAATTTATGACTTAAACAGTATCGGTCTTATTATCACCATTTTTATATATACTACAAAGTTTTCATTATTGTATTTTGTTTTTTATCAACAGTTACCAAAAGGAAGATTCGATCAGAACTCAACCAGTCATTGAAAGAAAGGGACCTTTATCCGGCTACGCCTCGCCTCTTCGAGGATATGGTGCTATTCGGTGAATAACTTGTTCTCATTTTCATTTTTTTTTTATTTGGAACTAACCTCGTCAGATTTTTTTCTTGCATATTTACACCAATTATAGCTTCCTTTCTGTACTTTATATTGTACCTTAGAGATAGCTATATTTATATATTTCGTAGAATTAATATAAAAAAAATGCATGATTCGTATCGTATCTTTATTAGGACCTAGTTAAAAACCAGGTGAGCTTGTGTTTGTATGTATACGTGTTAAACAGATAAGCCGCAAACACTTCAAAAGTAAAACAGCAAACTGAGGAGAAATCAACTAAGAGAAACAAAAGCATAGCTACTTGTTCAAAGTATCTGAGGATAGTAAATGAAAAATACAGATGTAATAACTCCAGTGCACTTCGTTCTCTGATTATTTACGTGTAAAATACAGACGTAACAACTCCAGTACACTTCGTTATCTGATTATTTACTTGTAAGATACAGACACATCAATGCCAGTTTACTTCATTCTCTGATTATTTACGTGTATAATACAGATACAACTCCAGTACACTCCGTTATTTGATTACCTGTAAAATACAGACTCAACAACTCCAGTACACTTCATTATCTGAATATTTAGGGGTAAAATATGAGCGAAGTAGCATGCACTTCATTATCTGGTGATTTTATGTGTAAAACTCAGACGCAACAGCTCCATTGCACTTCGTTATCTGATTATTTACGTGAAGATAAAGCAACATAAACTAGGAGTCTGCGATGAAAAAATAGATTGTCTGGTATCCCAGGTGTGTATGTGGGACTTTGGGGCGTTATCATGTTTACATGCTACAGACTCCCAGTGTAATTACGATTGTTTACAAATAAGATGTTGGACCCTACTGACCTTGTCTTCAGGAAAGTTGATTCTGCTATTGAGGATGACCCTAGAAGGAGTTGGAATTCGGTCATTTTTTCTCAGAACCTCTCCTTCTACGTTATCATGTTTACATGCTACAGACTCCCAGTGTAATTACGATTGTTTACAAATAAGATGTTGGACCCTACTGACCTTGTCTTCAGGAAAGTTGATTCTGCTAGACTTAAGACTTACTGGCAGCCTTCTTGTTTCCTTTTCTTTCTTTTTTTTTATCCCTTGTTGCCAACTTTCCTCATAAGAAGCATTCGTTCTTTTCAAGTCCTCGCTTGATATTTGTCCTCTCTCGCTTCCTATGCGCCACTTTCAATTCCATTTTAATATGCCGAAAAAACATTCCATTGCAACTGCCTTCTGACGCGTGAAATAATCCATGCAAACTGGAGCACGAATTTAAACCAATCACACGTTACTCTTTTACAGTTGGGAGAATTTTACACTCAGTTCCTCTGAACTTTACAATTTTTCTTATTTCTGACAAAAATAAAAATGTCCCTGACATGCCACTATGTAGCACACTTCACACTTCTCCACACCAAGACAAACAACAGTCATTAATAAGTATTTTATCTCAGATCCACCGTCAACGCTATAGAAAACCTAACCCAAGGACACTACAGCTTTATCAGTAAAAGGATTAAAATATCTTAACAGGCGTTCTATAATATCTATCACGTCATACTATGTAATTTACTTGGATACACCTCAGTAACTATTGTACACATTACAAGTCGTATTTCTCCTGAGCACCACTAAAAAAAAAAGTATAAAATGTGATATTTCTATTTTGTTATCTTGGTACCATAAATACAATTTTCCTATACAAACCTACACACAAACAAATATAAAACAAACTTCTGGCACTAAAAATATTGCTAAGCTATGCCAGTTTGGCACCTGTCAGAATATTGCTCAAGAAATTCAGTATTTGATTAAAAACGAAGCCATGACGTCGTTAAGAGAACCTGAAGTTTCATACACACACGTTATAATTACTTCTCATTTATAACTATTAATTATTCTGACCTTTCACATCCACTGGTACCGTTTTTATAAAATTAACTGACTGTGAGTACTTGTATTTCGATACACTCTAGCGACAGCTTCTAGAAACAGGTTAAAAAGTCTCCTTGGATCTTTGGCAAACAATATGTTGCGTGCTTTTCTCTGAAAGCAGGGACCATTTTAACTGGGATCTAATCGTGACAGGTATCGGTTTACCTGCCATGATGTTATCAGCCAATCATAAAAGCCTGTAAATGTATAATACCAACGTTAGATAATTCTGCTCCCCCCACGCCAGTGACTCTACGGTAAGTCTAAAGGTTAATAACGCTAAAAATCGTTTTTCGATACCCACGGTTGGCAGAGCACAGATTGGTGATTAATAAGAAAGAAACATAATTTTGATACTAGGGTATGAGTTTAGTCAGACTTGTTAAGAATTTTGGGAGGCCTTTTAACAACCGTCTGGCTTAAGTGTTTTCGTTCACATTTAGTCATATATCAACTCAAATTGTTTGTTTGTTTTTTATGGATTTCGCGCAAAGCTACACAAGGGCTATATGCGCTAGCCGTCCCAAATTTAGTAGTGTAAGGCTAAAGGGAAGGCTGCTAGTCATCACCACCCACCGCCAACTCTTGGGCTACTCTTTTACCAACGAATAGTGGGATTGACTGTCACGTTATAACGCTCACACGGCTGAAAGGGCGAGCATGATTGGTGTGATGGGGATTCGAACCCGCGACCTGAATCAAATCAAAACAATCGAGTCAAGAAATCCTTAGAAAAGGAAGTCAAAATACTAATAAAGTAATATTATTTAGAATTGTTAATTAAAATTAAAGTAACATGTCCTTGAAACCAACATTTACTGTAGTTTTAAGGGGGGCTTTAATAAATTACACACCGCCCACTCGTCTATTACATACCTAAAATAGAATGAAATAGTATTATACACCTATTTTTACTGCGTACCAAGCCTGCCAGTTTATACTGTATCGTATACAATCGTTTTTTTAATCTTCACTAGTTATCCTTGCTTAATTTATTTTCCGTCGAAAAATACAACCGGTTTCGCTCCAAGGTTTTATATCTTCTGAAGAAAATTAGATTCTCATCTTCTTTTCTTTTTCTTTCTGGAGAAACAGAAGTACGACAAATGATGTCGTATGTTTTTGTATCAATTCCAGTGCTTCCAAAATACTGTTAAAGCTTCCGTTAAGTGCACTAAAGGAAATAAGTTTTTTATTCTTTCTTTTGAAAACTAAGACGTTAGATGGTGACATTGGCAATTTTTTTTATTCTTTAGAGTAGGACTGGGAACAACTGGTTAGTAACACGAGTCACGCTACTTCGTTCAACAGGGGAGGGGGTCGTAACTACAATTATTGATGAGTTTACTCAACCATGTAGTAAACGTCGATGTACTTAAAGCAACCTATATATTTTTATTTATCTTGTGTTATATTTGTACACGTAGTTCAAGAGTACCGACATCATACCGATAACGTGTTCTACAAGAAATGATAAGTGACAAACATTTCAGCCCGGCTTTGACTAGATAACGAAGTCATGCCAGCTTCGAAAAGTGAGACGGACACAAACATTTGAGTTTTAAACGATCAGGAAACATATCCAGATGTTTCTAGGCTAGAAAGTTAGAGTTATAAGACAGAATCATATTCTCTACTTGAATTATCCAGACTTACTTCACATTCGAACAACTCCAAATAATAATAGTTGAGCTCAGCCATTGAAATTGAAGTTTTCCTGTAGATATAATAAGTGACTAAAAAATATACTGGAGCATTACTAGATTATTTAAAGTTAACCATCAGCAGAATACAGTTGTTTATAGTTTTTAACAATGTTCCTGCCATAAAGAAGAATCGTTATTATAAACAGAGCACCAAGTTACGTATATGAAAGTCCTGAACTTATATATCCAGATCCCCCTTCAAAAGGAGAAAAAAAAAAGCGGATATTATTTGACTGCGTAACGAAATATATTTAACATAGCATATAACATAACATAATGTTTAGGGACAACAAGGGATCCATTGATCCATTACGCTGTCCCATCCTAAACTAAAACTATTAAATAAAAAAAGTTAACCCCAAAGCCAGCTCTTATAATTCATATAGCTATCAAGTTTTCTCTTAAACTCACTTAAATTTACTATCTCCACAACAAACCATTCCAGTGGTCAACAACCCTGTTAGAAAAATAAAACTGTCTTAGCTAAAGATGACTCCTACCCTGCCAAAATTTATATTTGTGTCTCCTTGCCCTACTATTATCACTGTTAAATATGAAAACATATGATGCATTAACACTATCAATTCCCTTTACAATCTTAGGTACCTCATTCAGATCCCCCTCTAACTTTTCCTTTTTCAAGAGAAAACAGTTTCAGATATCTTAATCTCTCCTCATATGACAACCCTTCCATCCTAAGCACCATTCTAATAGCCCTCCTCTGAACCCTTTCCAACGATACAATGCCCTTCCTAAGGTAAGGAGCTCAAGACTAAACACAGTACTCCAAAGGTGGCCTAACCAGTGACATATACAATGAAATTTTAACCACTTTAGAATTGGATTCAATATTTACTTAGTATTAATTATCTATAAATAAACCTCATAAATAATAACAGCGAAAATGTTGTTTAATATATATTTGTTTGTTTTTTTATTCCTGTAAACTCCCAGTGGAGCATAGGGCCGCAACAACACCTCGCCAACGGAAGGTATTGTTGCAGTTACTTGTAGCAGGTTGGTTTTTACGGGGTGGAGTTACTAGCCCCGCGCCCATTTCTCATTCTGGACTTGGGACCAGGGAAAGGCGGAGGTTGTCATGTTTGGTGTGACGGGGATTCGAACCCGCGACCCTCAGATTACGAGTCGAGCGCCCCAACCACCTGGCCATGCCGGGCCTTAATATATATATATATACGTTTAAATAATTTCGCTTACATATTACAAGAAGGAATTTTAATAAATCTGCAGAAAAAAATATTATAATATATATATATACAGAGATAAAAAGAGTGGGTTGAACACGTTATACTAAAACGCTTTTGAATGTGTTTGTTTGTTT